ATCCGATGCCGACTGTCTGTGAATCCTGCCTCGTGAACCTACATGTTGATCATTGACACTCTGCAAACAAAATTTGAGCCAGTTTTTTTTTTTTTTTTTTTAAATAGTTATTAATCTGTAGCTACGTTCTACGTGTAGAATCCAAACGGAACATAAATCCTCAAAAAGATTTCTCAGTATTAATGACGAATATTACCGATAACATGAATGAGTCCATTCAGAATGAAGAAAGCTTATAACTCGCTTGAAAAGAAGCAGGTGTTTGTTGATGATTTATTGAAGGAAAATGGCCAGCCAAAATACTGTAGTACGCAGTGATTCGAAGTCAATAACTAGGCCAAAAATAAAATCTATCGTTAAACTTGATTTCGCTATTACTAAGTTAAAACGCGAAAAAAAAAAAAAAAAAAAACACACACACAGAGGCTGTATGGTGTCAAAAGTGCATGCGTTTTATCGTAGTAACATACCGTATAATAATGGTGATAATAAGATAAATTTAAAATAATTCAGTCTAATTAACTGACATTATTGCCAGAAGCCCACAGAGCAAAGAGCGTTTCTTCTAGAGCATCTATTAAGATAAACCTCTTTTCGTTCGAAAAGATTATTCCTATTTAAAGTTTAAAATGCAGAAGTACAACTGTTGAGTTGTGTGCTGATATACTGGCATTCTGTTTTTGCGATATTTTATGCGAACAAATTCTCGGAATCACCTATTTTTACGCCTCGCCCCCGTTAAGACTCCGACTGATATAAGTCTTCCCGCTGGCCTCTTCTGGGACTTTTCCAATTAACCTATAAAGCAGGACTGCAACCACAGAAGCAGCAATTAATTCCAAACATTTTTTTTCTATTTCCTTTTCTCTTACGCTGAGATTTGAAGCAGCGTAACAACATGCTCGTAAAATGACGACCGCTCTAACCGTAGCGATCTGGAAATGCAGTGAAAGCGTTCGATACTAATCCAGGTCAATTAGCCAATGTCCACCCACAAACCTCTACTACATGTTTCATAATGGAGCATTTACAGACAAATCCTCCAATAGATTTGGAAGGCCAGTTAATGATTTTAGCTTATAATTAATTCAGCCGAACTTAGAATCAGTAGCCAAATAGCCCTATAGCAGATATTTTTAATTAAAATTAATTAAAAAAGCTATATGAGTATACGATGTATTAGTTGGGGGGATTTTTCTGTAATCGAAGTAAGAGCTCAAATTGACTAGTAATGTTGAAACAGTAATAGAGTGTTCATCAAAAGAAGACCCTTTTCTGATAGAAATACCTCATCAACTCCGCTATTCACATAACAGGCGAAATACACTATGAATCGGGTTTTGTTCAGCCTTATATAACCGTTAAAACAATAGTTTTCGTAAACGATGTGTTACCGCTCTTAAGCGTGAAAACTTTCCAAGTTATCTTGAGTTAATTGACGCATCCCAAGACGCTATGCGACTTGTTTACATTTTTAGGTATGGTACAAGTTTCGGCCACCGACCGCTGTTTCGGGGCAGATTTTTTAAGTTTGCACTGAAAACAACGACAGTTTTATCCATCACAGAATTATTTTTGTTTCTAGCAATAAATAGTACTTGCTGTTGTCTTGTATACGATGTGCTTTTATAAAAATCTAGGCTTCTCCTTACATGTAAGCCCTATAAGGCAAGGCCACATCGACGCGTGAAACTCAGCTACTTCCCAATACGCTCGCTCGAAATACATAAAGCACAGGTTAGATAAATAACAACAGAGAACAAACGAAAAGCAGAAGGCAAAAAATCAAGCTAAGCATAATTGCACTTAACGTGTACTCTTTCCTTTAATAATTCCCAGAGGCTGGAAAATCATACATAGGTACTTTGTTCCAGCACTTCTCCCACATCTCATAGGTGTCAAGCAGCATCAAATTTAAAGAGAATCACTCCTACTAAAAGCAGGAGGTCCTTCCTTTGCTCCTAGAAATCGAGCCGTTGCTGTAACTAGGATCTGCACAAGTGACGCAGGTACCTTTATCGCCTGCTTACTTTTTTTGTCCTGCATTCGTAGGGTAAAGCCCGCGCTTGAAGCTTTCCATGCGTCCACTGGTGGGAACCGAGGACGTCTGAGCAGGGGGGGGGGGGGGGACTGCTCAGGATGGCTCTATAAAATGTCAATGCATAGAAACAGCGTAGAGAAGCAGCACACGACAGAATAGGGATAAAAGCAGAAAGAGAAAGCGAGCGGTAGTAGAAAAGCTACGGTATAAAACTTGTTAAAAAGGCTCGCGCGTCCGATTCCTTCAGCCTCTTGGCCGTTGAGCACACAGGCGAGAGTGTCTTCGATGAGCGTAACCGAAGGAGTCCATCGAAAAGTGAAGTAAAATTTGAATAACGCCCTGTCAGCAAGGCGGCTGCTGTATGCAAATAATTCCCCGCGCCTGTCTGTTGTATTCAACTCGACGCTGGGCCAGCGCACAAAGAGCGTACTGGTTGTAGCGTTAGACGCCACCGTAATGCCCACGTTTATTCTACTATATAGATAGAAACGCTTTGCCAAGAGTAAAAAGCTGTTTTTTCCGACTTTGCCTTTTTTACGCAATACCTTACATCCTGCCACAGCTACGACACTCAACGAGCAATTCAAAATTTTCTTTATAAGAGCAACATGCACGCATCTATTCTTGTCAAATTGAGTGATTCACTGGTAAGTGCCAACTCAGCTAACGCTCTGGTGATATGTTCTAGATCGTAAAATATTCCTTACGAAAAGGTACCTTTCCTGAAACATACAATGATTGAAGCAGCTATAGCCCATAACGATAAGACAAAACTAGCAAGCTTTTCCGACCACCTACCTCACCCCTGTGTTGTCTCGGAGAAAGGTTGGTTCAGTGTAGCCTGCGGCGTTTCTGCGTTCGTGGGTTATCTTGAGCACAGACCGTTTATTCGCTCGCCGCCTTTCCCGCTTCGGTACTGGGTAAGCTTGTATTCACTGACAAATTTTGCAGTGGCACTTAGATGGGTCGCGTATCGCTGACTATACAATGCTGTGCAGAGCACCGGGGGTTCGATTAAGACAGCTTAATCCAATTGTTCAAAGGGAAACAATATCGCAGATGGATCACAATTCATCATTACGAAGTTTGCCTCTCTTCCTCGTCGTCGTCGTTGTCGTCGTCGTCATAATCATCATTATCATCGTGACAGTTATCATCAGTGTTGCAGTTAGCGTGGTCACCAGAGCTACTGATACTAGCTGTGATATATAGGCAGTTCTGGTGGCCTCATCCATGTAAAATAGATATTTATTTTTTTTCATGTGTTTACAATACATTTCTAAGAGACATGTTTATTGCACGTAGCTGCCACTCGCTCTTATCAGGACTGGAGCACCGCGCACACGCTTACGTCAAGATATCTCTACCTGTATCTTTTAATATTCTCCTATTAACGAAAGAAGCAAATCGACATTATTACGCTGAAATACGCTAGCTTTTAATTTTATCATACATAATAATCCACCGGATTCAAATCCGTGCAGCAAGCCAGCTTGTCCCAAAACAAACTCACAGGTCACAAATCCTGGACTAAGTTTCTCGTATGCGTGATTTTCTGAATCGTGAGCAAACGAGTCATTGTTTATGTCCATGATCTTTATAAATCCGTTTCTGTCGCTACCGCATAATCAGAAGAACTCAAGAAAGGAATTATACCCCTCCAATGCCTTGCCCTTATTGCCCTCGGGAAGTTTTTGCTTGCGTTTATTGGTATACGGCATGCGTCCGAAATGTTCGTCACCCATCGAGCAATGCTAAACCCAGACATGTTACACCTTCCGTAAAAGCATCTCTTTTTCTTTTCATACTCTTCCCGTTCTGGTAAACAATGCTACTGCACTGTTACTAGTTTAACAAGTATACCCGAGCACAGATCTCTGCCATGATGGGCTTTTATATTTTTGTTATACAAGGAACGGCGTTCTTGTAGTAACAGAAATAGCGGATGGGGGCGCGCGCGCTCCTGCTACGACAAATCTCACATCAAAAATCATCCCAATGTACTGCTACCGCCCCACTTACTCGCTACCTGATTTAGAAATAACTGCTTTTGTGATGGTCATCATTTAAGCTACTTGTCCCTGGCTGTGCTTTAACCTCTGTTTGCATTTAGCTAAAGATATTTTGCAAAATATAACTTCTTATTACTTTCTGAACAGAAAGCTACGTCCGCATAGTTCAGGTCTCGTGGTGACGCATTTCAGTTCACGTCGATACGCGCGGTCAAAGCAGCGTTCAGCGAGTTACTGTTCTCATCTGATTGTACTAAAGATAGTTTGATGGTCTCCCTAGAATAGCCGACTGAGATTGTCTAAACAGAATATCCTTCGGCATTTGTTAAACACATTTGCCTATTTCATTATTTGCATGCAAGCCATCCGCACGCAAAGATGGCAACTTACAATTTTGGATCTAATTTGCCTGCACGACGGATAGCTGCGCGCCCACTGCGCATTTTCTGACATGAACGTAAGTTATGTTAACTTACGTCCTTCTTACTTATGTACCTCTAATATAACTTTCTATGACTGAATCATTTAGAAGTGTATACATTGCGAGATACAGCATACGCTCTTTACGGTACGCTTTTAATATAAACTCGAGGATTTTACTAGTTAAATTATACAGTTAAGAAACAATATGAATAACATTTGTTTCTTACATATAATGACAGTTTTTATTGTCAGGGCTGCAATCAAGCCGGTGGCAGAGTATGGGTTAAATTCTAATATATTTAGGAATTTGAAACGTTACCATACTCAAAGCGAACTTTGCAGTGAGCTAAAATAAAGAATTTATATAACTTTTAGTTGTTGGTCAAAGCAAAGACTATATGATTAATAGCCGGGGACCTCACCAGCCCATCGCTTATCAATAACTTACGCAATCGCAACGTTTGTATCAATGATTTGTATCCTAATAAGTGTATGTTGTCTTATCATTTTGTATGTTTTTACAGATATATTTCATCGACCCCAGTTCATTCACCGGGAGAACGAGTTCAGTCAAATCGTGGTTAGCCGATCGGGTTTGTTACAGCTTGATTGGAGCCCTACTCAAATGGTAACACTTAGTCTGCCCAAAAATTCAATCTACAATATATCACAAGGAGCATTTAAAGGGAGTGAGAGCTCGTTATCTAGCCTGGACCTCAGTGATAATCGTCTTGTAGCATTGCCAGACCTAACAAGTTTGCGGGCGTTACAGTGGGTCAATCTCCAACACAACGATTTCACAGAGCTGCCTGAAGGTTTCCGATACACCAATATCTCAACCTTATTTATGTCAGGAAACTATATTCGAACGATTAGTCCGGACTGTCTGCCCGACTCGCTCGTCACACTCGACCTCGACGGCAATCAGATCCTCAACATTGAGGGCAATACACTTCCGCCAGGATTGCGAGCTCTAAACCTTGGGAATAATATAATTAACGCGGCGCCAGGCCATATTCTCCACAAGCTAGCTTCGCTCGAACGATTGTCCTTGAGCAATAATGTGTTCAAGCACTTACCAAAATGGTGGCACCTTGGCCGGACTGTCCAGGTCTTGGATCTGTCGCATGGCTCGTTACGGCAGCTTGATGCGCCCTGCATCGGCCTAGCGAACTCAACTAGCTGCGAGCATCTTCAAACACTGCACCTCGAATATAACTTTATCTCAACGATAAGCGGGGCGGCATTCGAAGGCATGCGTCTCAGAAAGCTGTTCTTGAATTCTAACCGTCTCATGCAACTCCCTGAAAGCACATTTAATGGTAAGACCCCCACCCCCCCATCCCACCGATCATAGAGTCCCGTCGATTCGCTTACCCTAAGCGGTCGCTTTAGAATAATTTACGACAGCTCTTTTTTCTATCGTTAACGGCTGGCAGTGTCAAACGGTTCGACACACGTCGAGCAATTGCTTAGAAAATAAATTATCCCTTAGATTTTTGTCGTTGAAAGAAGAAGCATACAATGGTTTGGCTATGCGGTGTTAACATTTGTACATTGTATCAATGTATTAAAGTGGACCAGAAGCTAAGAAGTGTTTCCAAATTGTATTACGTGACAATAAAGTGTTAGAAACTACAAATCCTTGCGCAAAGAATAAGATTTTTATTTATTTATTTACACTTTTCGAAGGATTGGCCAAATTGATATAGTCGCTCTTGATCGTTGTAATAGTGCAAAAAAAAAGAAAACGTTTTATATCGCGTTGTCAAAATAGACCAAACTAGAGATTAACAGGTTTATCTTATATTTTAAGGCTAGTGTTTTTTCTCCGTTAGCTTCAGCTGTTTTTTTTTGTGTGTGTCTGCATACAGTGGAATCACATTTCAACCCATACGACACTTATTACAACCTCCCTAATAACGACTAGATGAAATCATGGAATATTACATGATTTTATTTAATCATAACAATAAGGTTCACGTAGGGCGTTCCCTTCATTTTTCCTGTTAGGCTCCATAGCAAAATCCCTTCTGATTCTCGATTTAAGTGAGAATCAGTTTTCATCACTGCCGGCCTGCGTCTCCGACTTGCGAAGTCTCACAGTTCTCAGCTTACGAGGAAACCTCCTGAGTGCCTTTGAGCCGGTGGCGTCAGGGGGCGCTTCTTATCCAGCGTTCTTCAAAACACTCCAGGTGGGCTGCTTCACCAGGCTACATGCACGCTACATTGTACCGAATAGATTATGCGAAATGCGTTTCTTCATTACGGAGCCCCCTAAACGAGAGGAGCATTCAGAGGAGAATTCAACAATGACCAAAATAATGGTGCGTCTTTCAGGTAATGGACTTGTCCTACAATCAGTTATCTGCAATTCCGCCAGCCTTTGCTGGTACAACAGATTTGGTGCGTCTCAGCCTTCAGGCGAATCTGATCGAACGCCTGACGTCGCACGACTTCACAAAGTGGTCAGTAAACTTACGCAGTTTGAGTCTATCGAATAATGCCATTAAGGTGATCACAAAACACGCCCTGCGGAACCTCGTAAGTTTGAAAGAGCTCAAATTCTCTTTCAATAATATTCACTACTACGATGGATCTGCTTTCGGTGCACTGGGTAATCTGCAGGCGTTGGAGATATCATCGACTTTAGCCAGCGACATTGCTGTGCGCAATGTTCACAAATTACTAGCTCCTCTTAAAAAACTAAAATCACTTCAGATCGATTACAATAGATTATACCATATTGAACCGTTTGCCGCCTCCGTGACTAATCTCGACCTCGAGGGCAACGATCTTAACACTGTACCTGCAATATCAACGTTATCAAAGCTATCTCGTTTATCATTGAGCTACAACAGCATCCATTATCTGCGAAGTAACGTCCTGCAAAATGTGTCATCCTTGGAACAAGTAATTCTTATTGGAAACCCGTTAAGGGAAATAGAATCGTACGCGTTTTCGGATCTACGCTCGTTGGTAAGCGTTATTCTTTCATCGAACCGCTTGAGGGGAGTCCAATGTTATGCATTTTACAAACTGCCGAGTCTGCAAAGACTCCATCTTGACAACAATCTTATACAGCATCTGAATTTGGATATGCTCGAAGACGCTGGCAGTCGGCTATTTCTCAACGCGTCAAATAATCAGATACAAAATATATTTACTAACAAAAAGAACCGAACTGTCGATGTTCGTATTTTTGACGTCTCGAACAACCGCGTCGATCGGATTACGTCAGAAGTGTGGTCCAAGATGCCACGACTTGTGCAGTTAATCGCTTCAAATAACCGTCTCAAGGAGCTTGCAATTTGTGATGTACCTTTAAGCCAGCTGACCATAGCCGATTTCTCAGAAAACCAACTTTCTGCTGGTGCTATTGCCAATCTTAGCGTGTTTTCACCGGCGCTCGAAGTACTCAATTTGCGCGGCAATGGACTTGAGTCGCTGCCCTCGGCCGAAGTCTTCGCACAAGACTATTTGACGACAACCACCGCCGCAATTGCTGGCCCCAGTGGTGTTGTAGAATCAACAGGCCCAGCGTCCGATTCGTTGCCGCTGCCGCCATCATCATCATCATCACCTAGCAACGCCGATCACTGGCCGATGATGCGCGTTCTTGATTTGTCGCGAAATCAACTGCGTCAAATTGAGCACACTGCCCTTCCACCATCATTGCAGATGCTCAACGCATCATTTAACCCTCTTGAAAAGTTCGGCAATAGTGGGGCTGAACTGAGGGCGCTTTCATCGTTGGATATTTCAGCGACTCGGCTGGCTCACGTCCCGATCCCCACCGTGGCATCATTAGAGCAGTCGGCGCCCAGCAAGCTTCAGGTACTCAATGTGTCCCTAATGTCGTTCGCTCATTTAGAAAACGTGTCCAGCCAGTCTCTACCCCGAGGTCTACTCGTTCTCGACGTATCGGGCTCAAATGTTCGTTCGGTAACCCTCGACGAACCGTTACTGGCCGAACTGAATCTAGCTAATACAACATTGGTGTCTCGTTATGTCGTCCACGCCCCGTCTCTACGCGTCGCCGATCTGTCGCATAACAGAGCTCAAAATCTCAGCTCGTTGCTTAAAGCTTTTTCAGCGGATCAACTGCACGAACTCAATCTTGAGGGTAACGCGATCGATAAAATCTCGAACTTGATTTGGCGTAAGGTGCCACGTCTCACCCGTCTGCGGATTAACTCGAACCCCCTCGAAGTGTTAACACTACATTCTTTTCGAGGTTTGAATCATCTAAGCGAACTCGACATGCGAAATCTTAGCCTAACTAATCTCGATCCACGGTGTCTGCACAATCTCAAGTAAGTAATGTCAATAGGCCCAAAAATGAACGTAATATCAATCATAGCCACTTGAATATATTAAACATATGTGTAAGGACTTTATGCAAACTTCGTATCCTAATGTAAGCTTTTCCAGGCCTCGACTTTATCAGCAATCATAAAAGCGTTATATCTTCATTGTATGTGGAAATGTAACATGGTCAAGCTTCTCAAGTAGGTCGATGATAATTCTTTCTGTTATATCTGCCACAGATTTGAGCCTATATCGGTATTTTTCAAAAGGGATTACGGTCTTCCAGGACCAGTGTAGCGAGTTTTTTCAAACCGTGCCTATAGCAAACACAATCCAAAGGCACTTTTCAGCTATTACATTAAATAAAATTAATTTCTTTCATTTTATGACTCTTATCAACAAAAACACTAGTGATCACTATTTATATATCAGCAATTCGTCTTTATTTTTGGATGAGCCTTAACTTTATTGGTTATTATATCTATAGTATAGTGTAAGTTATATATATATATATATATATATATATACTATTGCAGAGCGCTATCATCACTAAAACTGTCAACGTACAACAAAGGCATCCGATCACTGCGACTGCAAGAATTACTTTCCGATTCGTTAGCTCTACGCCACGTAACTGTTGAGGTGGAAGAGCCAGTTCTCTCTTACCAACTCCAGTGGGCTTTTGCAACCACAAAGTTACGAGAACTTCAAGTGACAGGTACTTTCGAAGATCTAAAGGATATATAGGAACAGTATACTGAAAGGTTTAACAGGTAGTAGTTGGTCATGATGCGTACGTTATTTATGCATTATTGAAGGCAACAATAATTTTCGGGTTACGAAACGACTCAACGGTCCATGCTACGCTAAAATATTTCAAGATATGTAAAAATCGAGGCTCTGATGAGTGATCTGTCAGGTATAGGTCGTATCGCCAAATTAAGAGCACTGATTAATTTCAACAAGCTCCAGTTTGAATGATTTAGAATATTTTCATTGTTGCCCTTGAGGCATTGCAGATCCGTAACCAGTCTGACTTGGAGCGTTGTACTATCTCTAATTTAGACAAAATCGCTAATGTATAATATACAAGATATTATGGAAGTATGCAGCATTGTTAGTTAACATACTTTCGAGAAGTGGGGGGCCCATTAAAGCGGCCATATTTTTAAGATAAAATCGTTTCAAGTGTGTCAGTGACTGGCCGTACATGATCGACTTAAGCTGCGCCCAGATGTAGCTAATTAATTGATAACTTAACATATGAAAATTACTTTCATGCCAATTATGCGGAAACACGCTCGAATTTCAATGAGCTGTTCCTAAACGCTGGGTCATGTCAGATAATGTTATTACCTTGTGACATATCTACCTTTTCAGCCGTTGTTGGACACAATGCCCGAAAATAACATTTGAAATTCTAAACAGATGGCTGTTAGCAATGCGGTGGAACGATTCGATGCATCCCCTACTGGTTCTCTGCTATACGTCAATTAGATCTGCATTAATATTATATAAGTGTGGACTAGGGGAACGTATCGTATTCTTGGGCTGCTGCTCGATTGGGAAGGGTCGGTGACACTGCCGGTCCCGATGTCGCCGAAAACTGTCTAAATTCCAGTGTGTAGGAAGACAGTCAATTCTGATAACCAAGTCAGGTTGCTGTTCAGCAGCAGGCCTTCTGCACGGCTACCATTTTTGCTCGCTCATGCGAAAATGAACATCTTCACTATAGAAATAGCAGTGATCCAGCCGACGTGCAGTTATTTGCACGTCACAAGACAGTGGATATACACGCATCCAGACACCTACTGAAAGGACAAATCAAAGCTGAGAAGGCCGATTCAATGTGCATGGTGTATCAGCCAAGCCCTGAGCGCTTCCTGAGCTTGGGTCCTCGATAAGCCAGCCATGCAGATGTGTCGTTCGTTCCGGCACTTCTTTATGTGTAGCTATGACCCGCGTGCCTATTTTCTCACTCGTCCGTATGGGGTGGAGTCACTGCGTATTTTCCAACCGTATATACTTACAAAATAATTCTAGCTTCGATCGTTAGCCCTTCCCCGGTACGATACAGTATTACATTGGCTACACACGTGAGAGCCTTGTGTGTTTTGGTATTTGCCTCGGGTCTCGGTGCTGCTGCTGCTGCTGCAAGATTACCCTCTACTTACCTTTACGAACCTACTTGCTCCTCTACGGGGTCTGCCAGACAACAGCCCTGTCTCTCAGACTCGCGACGACTCAGGTTGGAACGGTTCCATACACGGGATTTACGCGGCGTAGCCGCTCCGGCGAATCCAGGCCAGGTCTCATTGGTTCGCACCGTTCTACAATTGGCTGTAGGCAGGTAGATTCTTCGGCCACGTTCGCCGCCGTTACCAGACGTGCTGGAACCAGCGAGACCAGATCACTTCGCCGCGTAGGGTGCCAGCAACAGCAAAACGATAGTAATATTACGGTTTCTACTGCTGCTGGTGCTTCTACTACAGGCAACCAGTTCGAAGGCCCGTTGTATTGTTCAGAGTCGATTGCCCGGCGGGTTTACCTTCCAACAGCCAAGAGAAGGGCTTTGTCGATTCCTGAGACCGTCATTCGGTTTCCTTTAGAACACTGCGCCCAATAGAAACGTACGCGCAGAAGCGCCACAGTAGCTGTCACAACACGATACACCCCAGAGGGAATGTATTCTTGCATGAGTGGGCATACGGCAGGACTTTGATATGGCAACGTTGGTAGTCAGCTCTGACTGGTCTAGTTGATTCCACTGAGAGAATGTTGTTGCTAGAGAAAATAGCAGATATGCCGTCAGCAAATACTAAGTTAACGAAGTGATATTCTACTACACACGAGTTTATAAGTAAGACTTACCTGAAATAAATTTTAGATTGCTATCTATATATATGTGCCCCATATATACACCGAATCGACGGTGTACTCAAATAAACAAAAAAATGAAGCACTCGCTTCACATTCAGTGATATACTGGTTTTAAACAAGTTCAGATAAGCAAGAATGTTAATGCCACAACAAGTCAACAACCTATGGTTTCTTTTATATGTAGTAGTTGATTTAAATTATTGTGGTTTCGAAATTAGCTATTAAATTATGTGCAAGTTTAAATAACTTTGCAGCGGATTAAGTAAAATTTTTTTAACTTCTAGGTAAATCTCACTTCGTATTGTAGAGCAACACAAATATATTTCAAAATAAGAAAAATTACGAAGGTTTTGGTTTAACGTTTAAGGTACTATCATCTTCGAATTCCATTGTTATCCTGTTTAATTGCTCATAGTTGGCTCCCTGGTTCCTGCCTCTGATGCTTTCCTTAGATTTTGCTTCCGAAGCACGCAACTTAACGGAATGACAAGTTCCAACAATTATGCGTTCCACTTCCCATGGATTATAAGTTAAACTACGTCAGTGTCTTTACTTGAATGGAACGTACGTTCGGAATCGCATCGTTCCACACCAATGAAAACTCAATGGGCCAAAAAAAAAAAGAAAAATCTATCTAATATAATCCTGTATCGCTCATTTCGTGGCCCTCCAATCCCAAAAAAAACGTTTTACTCGTTGATAATTATGCCTGCGAAAAGACATATTGACCCCTCGTGAAATGTTTGGTTGTTCTATCGACAAATTGCCGTTGTCTGGGTCCACTTTTGTGAGAAAACTGGGCCATGTCAGCGGCTCATAAGAAGTTGAACTGGTGATGCGGAAAATTCATTTCAAGGCCCAGAATTAAGATGTGGCTGAACGATTATAATTTTTAGAGAGATAGTTCTAATGTAAACCCGGAGTACGACCGATGGGTCGCAAGCTTCGCTTCGAACAACTTTCTTTTACTAGTCCAGAGGCCTAAATTGAGCATAGACGTTGATTTTATTAAGATACACTTCGTTCTGTCCCTGATTCCTTTGATTGAGCTCACCACACTTTGTATGCTACTGAAAAAGCTGTTTCCTATAGTTTACATTCTGTCTTTAAGTAGACTTTGTAGAGCTAACTTACTGGAACTTAATAACCAAAATTGGTAGCAATATGCACGTTGATCCGTAGACGTTCATTAATAATAGCTGCTAATGTACTTCTCAGAGGATACTAAAAACTCAAATAACTTATTATCATTAATAGACTTTACGTTGGCTGTGTTAATTTAGAATAACAATTGTCAAGAGCAGATTATATCCGTTATTTCCACCAAACCCTTTCTATGGATGACGCGTCATGCGCACTTTCAGTCAAGACCGATCTACCAGTCGGCATAGCGTGTACTCGATTCGCGTGTGTCCTGAGGGACGCATGCATTAGAACGCAGAATCCAAAGTAGGGCTTAAGTGAAATTGCTATCGATTTTATTCCCTAAAGAGATCATCACATCATTATATCATATCGGAGAGATGGAATACCTGGGACAGCATGAAGCCTAGTTGGTCCTTAAATAAAACTAGGAATATCGAATGAAAGTGTCGCATTGATTGCGTAGAATTACTCGAACTTATCAAAAGACAGTGTCACATCACTAAGTCCGTTCTGTTCGTTACCGCGCGCTTTGACACGAGTCAACCGCTCAGCAATTTCTTCGTTCCTAAAGATGCTTGCATGATTGTTCCCCGCTCCTCAATATGTTAATTATATAAATTGGTAGTACGACAACTTACCAACGGAACCAGATCACATTCTCAACTGTTACGATGTCTAAACTTATCCAGAGCGCATGGGTGGTTCAATAGAATGTCTAAGATAAGTTCTATTAGACTGCCTTATAGTTTAGCTAAGTGTCATCTTTTATGCTGGCCGCATTGGAATTGCTGTGCAAGTTCCAATGAGAAAGCGAACCAATATTCGCAGACTCATAGCATTAGAGTAGACAATATAATAAATCACTGCGACAAAGACAGATGCTTTAGACTGCCTTACACACACAGACAAAAAATGCCTTCAAAAAATTTGAGAATAAGAAAAATCATCATCGTCATCACAGGCTGTTTTGTCTCTTTAGGATCATCTTTAAGGTCAATACTTCCGGACGCCTTTCTTGGACTCGAAAACATTCACGAGCTGGTACTTCGTATACGACATACCTCAGTTATGGAGCTGCCTGATGGTCTTCTCCGGTTAGTACGCATCGCGGCTTTACTTTCAAACCATTAGATAAAATCAATTTAGTTTATCCATTTAAATACAAATATTATGGAGAAGCACGTCGAACTATTACCAAATGAATTCATATTTTACGGTATTTGGTTTTTACTTCAAGAGGAATGGCACTTAGAAAGAATTATAAAGAAAATTCAGATGGCTATTGAGAACTTTATTTAGCATGCACACTATATGCGATGCAATGTTTTAATGTGAAGACCAACCGTGCTTGTATACTTACTCTTCACTGCCTCTTGAGTGTTCTTGAAGACGCTGAAATGTTTAATAAGCACGGAAAACTTATCTATTGTTCGTACGTATTAAAAGCTACGAATGCAAACATTCTATTGGTTACATAATAGGTGTTGTCTGTTATCATCTGTTTGACTAAGCGCACAGGAGTATATCAAAGCGCGACGCGTTTCTTAAGGAAGCACACGCTAATAAGATCTTTTTTCTGCCATTTTACGTTTCTTGTCTAGATACCTGACAGATGTGCGCTTTCTTACGCTCGATCTCCGCTCCAACCTCCTGCAAAGCATCTCACCACGCGTGCTCGACTCCAAAAGGATGTCATATTCCAAGAGCACCCAATTTCTAGCAGGTTCGTTCTTGCGGGAGGTCAAGACCTGTCACACTGTCTTCCCTCTTACCTTTTCCTTCGTTTTTGCTGCTAATATAAGCCAAATGTATGTCAAGTTTGAGTTAAACATAACTATTAAAGTTTGAGACTTACCATCTACTCAGGTATGATATCTTCATTTTCCCGAGACATTTTCTCTCTTTTTTTTTTTTGTTTCATCCTGATCTTCCTTCTGGCACAACCTTTCTCTATATGTGCACGTGGCCGCTCCCGCCGCTACATTTACCCGTCGCGCTTCAGTTTGGACAGGGCCGATTGCCGGAGAAACGCTCGGCTCCGATTAGAGCCGTATTCAGGCAGTGTCTGTTTTTTGGGAAGCTCTAACGTTACTCACACATATTCTTGCTACCATTTCGACTCGAGAGGAGCAGTTCCTCGTCTCAAATTATTCGACTTTCTAGCCTATTCAGCCTGCATATTCAACCGCGTCCGCCAATCGAGTGTTTTTGGAGAGGGGAACCTTTTTCTTTTTTTTGCTTTTCTTGGCCTGCATAGAACGAAATAGTAAATGGCCTCCCTGAAATATACGTTCTGTAGCCTCGCTATTCCGCGACGTTTCGCGTATCTAACAAGCCATCACCTTCGCAAACCTTGCTACAGATAGTCGATCAGGCCAATTTATGTGTTTATTGAATGCACCCTGCGAATCATAGAAGGAAATAATTTTCATGCCTCGCACAGCTACAGATGCGATGAAGGTCCGCCGCAAAACCTGGCTGAGGGTTACAGCTGTTATAATCGTTGAGAATAATACTAAATCCACTGAGATGATAACGAAAAAATTGCTTCTTCTAGGACATGTATGAAAAAGGCTGAATATCTGCTCTTCTTTGCCGTGCTGTTCGAAGCACGAAGTGTATTTTGATGTCCTAAACCGATGCCTTACCTACCACCTTCCGGCAAATAGCAAGCCTATAAATCCAACCCATAAAATCAGTTCTCTGAGTCGCAAATATAGAAGGTTTATAATACTGCTTCAAGGTTTCTTTATTGGGCAAGTTTAGATATATAATGAATTCGACTGAGAAATAAAGGGTGCATACAAATCACCTGGTTTATTTCAGCCTGATACTGACTTGTAGATAGAAATTGTGGTATCGAATATATACGGTCCTATTTAAAAATGTCTGTATTATTGTGAAAAATGGTACATCTTAGGACCGCTACCCTGGCAAATTGGTTTGCTCGATCCGCGTAAATAAATGTTTCTCTGCGTTGGGTAGATTAATAATGTATCGTTTGAGTCCCGCAAACCTTGGCCTTAATCGACATGTTTACTATTTATTTATGTGAATGTACAAGATTATCTGTGTGCCATCCTAATTCAGTACTTTCTCCCAGGTGGGTTTCGTCTGGAAGATAATCCATTTCGATGTGACTGTGGCCTTGTGTGGCTTTCACAATGGCTGCGCCGTTGGCTACGGGAAACCGTCAAAGTACAACGTTTTGAGCCTGCAACCGCGTTACAATTGCATCATATAGCGCGACAATCCACCTGTCTGCTGCCAAACGGAAAGTAACGTATCCGTCTTTGACTTTAAAAGTTTTGCTACCGATATCATTAACTTCAAAAAAAAACATTTAAAAAAAATTAGTGCATTTGAATACGCTACCAATAGTGACATAATGTCCAACTCTTTTACTTTTTATTAAAAAGCCATTACCCTTTGCAAATATCTCCTGTTACACACGTGTCGTATAATATAATACAGAATAATATATACAGAAATATAATCTAGATGTAAGCTTTTTAAACGGGGATTACTTTACGCGTTGGTGTTATCACGACAAAGGAGTTGCTCGTTGGAACTAGCAGTTTAGCTTTCTAACGATTACGGCGTTAGGGTTAAGGTAAACGTCATGGAGTAGTTCGCCCGTACCAAGCTCAATAGCTCTACTCCGTACCGAAGTGTCCTTTATCGAAGTGTAATGATCACATCCGATTGTATCTGAGACATTTATATATAACTATAATTTCGTTTGAACATTGACGTTCTGTAAACTAAATTCTTCGGATCATTATTATTTGAGTAAACATCGGAGAGCATTGGTCTGACAGAAAACGGAACGCTCACTAGTCATCGTGCAGCCTACTTTCGAACACCTTCACAAAACGAATGGGTCAATTATACAATATGAATCTTTGCATCTTCATTGTTCTGGACTGAACATTCAGAGCGAGGCTCGTTTTTGTAGCTAACGGAATTTCTATTCCTACATGCCTACGAAGATCACTAAGTGCGAGCGCAGTAGGGCATTTTCTTAGAAAAATGTAGAATGGAATTGGAGTAGTACAGCAAAGAAAAGTTGGCTATCCATCGTTCTGTTACAAATCACTATCGCCGAAACATAACGCTAACTGCTAGATACAAAGCTGGTACAACTTGGGTTAGAATTTGGCCATTTCGAAGAGCCAACACCTAATGGCTGTTTTGTTCCGATGACTTAAATCTACTTGAGCTACTTTGCAAATAGCCAAATTATTTAAGTATTTAAACGTTTTTTAATTAAGAAAAAAGTAGCGTATGATTTCTGCATTGACCTCACAAACGCAATGTGAGAGAAAGACGGATCTTGACATATAACTTTCTTTTTGTATTTTTTTAAGATCTTTGCCGCTGGTAGAGTTCTCATCCGAACACTTCCACTGCGCCACCACGGGTGCATCTGTCGGATCCAGTGGGGTTCTGCTGCCTTCAAGCGTGACCTTCTTCCTCCTATTGCTATGGCCAATGTTTTTACAACTACCAGGGACTCTCTGATCCTGTCTGGCAACGGGGATCATGTACAATCAACAGACAGCAATTACCCATACAGGGGCATATAGATAACAATAAGGTGTACAGGCAAGCAATAAATGTTTTTACAGTTCCAATAAAAATTATGTAGTCTTTTCTCATATACATACATTTTGTAAGAAAAAAGGTTATACCAATTTGTCACATTATTTGAAAAGAACTTCTTTGGCTTCGGAGCACTTTTGAAACTATCTGAAAGTATCTAGTAATGTCTTTTTTCGTTATATTTGTGTAAGGCTTTGCGAAGTTTCATTCCGGTCTCGCGTGTATTGGCTTAATCTGTTTCTATACGGCCTGAAGAAGTGACGGCTTTTCTCACAAAACGCTAAACAAATTAGGTTTTCTGAGCGGTATTCTTTGAGTCGCCAACGTGGAAGAGTAGTCCTATTTGGATAAAAACAAAACACTTCGTGTTTTTTAGTCCAACTTGAAAAAGGTCCTTTCCAATTTTTTGCATGGTCACGCGCAATTTTATGAATACGATTATTGAAAAGTGACGTCACTAGATGAAAATCCGTTTGAAAAATGATGTACACAAAAATCACAGTGGTGGCGAAACTTCAGCGGCAATCACCTTCAAGCTCGGTGAAGCACCACAGACCAATGAGCTTCTTTGGTTACTCCAAACCGATACGGAATTGTAAGTGAACCTGCAGGCGCACAAGAAGCACAAGCAGATTTCAGCGTAGAAAATGAGCAATCCGAGTTTCACAGATAATGGATAGCATCAAAAAATATATTTTTCAATGACTCTGAGACCATTTCGAAGCAAATTTTATGTTGGTATGGTTATGAAGTCGCGGATCATTTATGAAGACTTCAGGTATGAGTCACGTACATATTGCTTGACGCCGATAAAATCTTCAAACTCATTTGTTCCTCAGTTCCGTTGGTAACAAGCGACGATTCTTCTCTAGCGAGGAAACGCCGACCATTGTTCAACAAAGAAGTCACCGCAAAAGCAATCACTGACTACTTTTCGATTCCGACTATACGCCTATTACGGGAAAACTAATTCATGGGTGTGGCGTCCACGAAAAGTACGTCGTGCTACGGTACTGTATTTTCTTTGGAACCACAAATGAACAAGTCTATTTGCGTCCACGAAGAATTGTTGCGCTATTGTAAATAGATGGAGTGTCTGGAAGAAGATAGACTTTCTAGCAATATGGTGGCTTATGGTACCCAGCTAGTGAGGAATCGACCACTTAAGAATTTTGCAGATGATTCCGCTAAACAGCTCAGATTTGAAGCCGCTGTATTACTACGTACGACGCTGTTAAGCGATAGTTCAGCGGGTCTCAACACGACAATGTCAAGTCGCGCTCATCTGCCATTGAGAAAATTGGCACAATGGCAAAGAGAGACTCTGAAACGTGCTCTGCAAGATCTGCGACACGATTACGACGCATCTCGTTGAATCGTCTGTTATATATAAGAAACAAACAATACATAAGAAAAGCTCCAAATGTAAATAGAGCAGTTTAGATGTTGTCTGTAAAGTTCACTGTACGGTAATACAGGCTACCCGTTAGCATTTGAGACACCGAAACACCAGTTCTATCGTGGATCCGAACGGTCTCAGTTAATCTACGAAAGATGTTACTTTCGGTGATGGAATCCTATTTGCAAGCACCCTCACTGCGGCCTATTTCGATCGTTACGAGTCATCCATATCATTACTTGTCAGCCAAATCAAAGAAAAACAAGCAGCCCTTATTTCTGAACCTAATATTTGATATAAAACACACAATGCCAGCACAGGGCCGCCAGCCGTTAGCTGCACAATGATTCGCTTGGTTATTATTTGAATAACATGTTCTCTACAGGATAAATGGACAAAAAAACAGATTATTCCGAACTACTAAAAAAACTATAAAATTTGAATTTCTAGACATCAAACAATTCACAACTTCCGTCAGGAACTTTTTTTTTGCAATCTCTAAACTTTCACATGTACATTATAGGGGTCTGAGTGGCGATGTTTCAGATATCTTAACTGTTACTTTTCATGTTGCATTATTAATTATTTCGAAGCGTTCACATCGATCCGTGGGCACTATCAGACACACAAACTTGTGTCACGGTTCAGTGAAGTCTTTATTTGATCAAGTTCTCATATGTATTCAGAAGTTAATTAAACATTTTCTGATGACACTTCTGATCGGCTATGACGTATTGTTATAGCCGATCAGAATGTAAGTATTGTTAGTCCCGACTAGCGTAGTTACTGGAAATGCTAATCATTTGTAAACTTATAACGCTTGTGGGAACTCTTGGGGTTCGGGAACGAAACAATTCTCCCCTCTGCATCACACAGAAAATTTAGCCATGTTAATTTGGCATGGGATTAATGAACAGAACAAAAATTAAGTTGCTCTCTTCTCGATACGAGTTTCAGTTGTTAAAGTACATTATAAACAATCTAATAATTCGAATAAATTATGACTCCCACCTCTAAAAAAGGTGGACACGACGTATGTTTTATAGCAGTATTTTGAGTTATTCTATTGATGCTTGAAGTTAAACGCTGCTAGACTATCAGTGCGACAGTGAGAATTTTTGGGACCCGCCCCATTCGCTACTTCAAGCTGAATTTGTCGGTCCATTTTCTTTACAAATTACATACATGTAAAGTCCATTATGCCTACAGAAAAAGGCGCATTGGAGTGTTCTGTCTCCGACAATTAACTGAGAAACCGTTGCCCCCCAACCCCTCGTGAAGTATAGCGAATATTTAATGTGGCATAAACAAGCCGAGCGTAGCACGCGATCGATGAATCGATAAGTAGCTATTGACATCGGCAGTGGAGAAAACTATAAAAATCGTCCACAGCAAATACAGTTTCGGTGTTAGCGGCATAGATACATTGAAGCATCTAGTTAATAAATTACTAGGTAACTTTAATTAAAGCCACTTACGTTTATTGGTGGAATCGCGAGTTGATGCATAGCGGTATGCGAGAGTAGAAAAAGTGCTTGTTCTACTTGATTAAAAACCTATTTCGTACAAACACCCATATAAAACGTGTGCAAAACAGTAGAATTATATTCGTTACGACAAAGGCCTCCTCGCCTCGTTTGTTGACATCGCCAAGGCTCTAATCCTTCAAATTTTTTGATCCATATATGCCAGGCTGCCCGCATAGTATGATTGCTGCTTTCGTTTAACAGACATAGACAGTCAGTGTAGCAGAGCGGCCAGACATATCAAGCATTTTATCTATAGCGCTGTCGACGGCCTTCTTAGATTGGTCTAGTGTAATTGGTCCTTCATTTTATTTTCGGCCAACCGCACTCAATGGTAAGTGAATGATTTTTATGTGTCTTTGTCCACACTGGAAAAGCTATGCAACATTTCTGATGAAAACCAGGTTCAGGCCAGCGACGACTGATATGACGGTAATGCTGTTCACGTAACGGTGCAAAACAGAATTAATGGCTCGCGTTTTTCTAAAAATAAGTAATAAGTAATCAAGATAGCAAGTTGTCGGATCATCTACGTAATCTGAAACAAACATCGAAATCGTTAGTTACTGAGAGGTTTTTTATTCAAACTACTTATTACTTTTTGTCCATCGTTGCAGTAAAAATGGGGTGCCGTTACATATTTTTTTGTCCAGATGCTTAGCTTTCCGCAACATCTTTCTAATCTATCCACATATATATTCTGAATAAAATCAATACTATTCTGGGAGAAATTAAGTCGCTCTTTTACTCACTTTCACATAAGGCTTTTTAGCAAAGCATACCTAAATTTGTCCTGCCAAAGATTTCATAGTCTAGGCCACATGTTCCTTCGACATACGATTGTAGCTTGGGATAATTTATTTTACATTTCCATCCAGCGGGGTACCAACTAAGGCAGTGCTAACAGGTACAAATGTGGCCATAAAAATGTATTTAAAGACTAATTAAAATAATTCACTATTCCTGTTTATAACGTGGTACGCACCTCGAGCACAATCTTTTTCTAAAGTGCTGCTTGTTCATTCTATACGACAGACACCGTAGTATCTTGAAATTCTGACGACGAAGCGGATACCCCTGTTAATCAAAGGGCAATGTACAATTTAAGACATACTTCGGACATTGTGCCACAAAAGGGCACTACGGGTGCGAGCACAGTACGAAGTCGTCGTCGCTACAACTTCGGCAGTGAGCCCGATCATTCCTATCCAAGCGACAAGTATTCACAGAAACTGCCGGGAAATCTTGAGAGAAAACTCGAAACTCCTCCACAGGATTCCACAGGGTAAAAGCTGAACAGTCTACTTTAATTGACTTATACATCTATCACATAATACGTATGATAGGATCGTTTTTGACAGGGCTAAATGGAAAGAAATTGGCGGCTTTTTTTAAATCTACACAGAACCTCGAGTATGCCTATAGTTTACAAAAGATTGAGATCGCGTTTTCAAGCAGCTGTCGAAGTTGACTGATGAGATTTCCAAAATTATTATAAAACTTCTATTACAATAAATCTTGCACTAGAATGTGCGACAATTATATTTGCCACCCGTCATAATATTTGCAAGTGGTAACGACGATATTCTTATCTGTGTAACTTGGATAAAGCAAACTTAGCATACATACTTTTCATAAAAGTGTGGTCCTCGTCGATAGCATGCAGGCCTAGGTAAGTAGAACTTCATTGTGTACTATTTTTATTATTCGCAGACGTTTTCTAAGTGCGAGAAGACGAGCAAAGGTAACAAGTTTCACAACAGGCTCTTCAAAACAGAAACCTTTCCGAAAACTACGGCACCTTCTTCAACCAGCTTTTTTGCTAAGGTACGAAAAAGCCCTTAATATTGTACGTAGAAATATAAACATTTGACTTAGAATTCTGAAAATAATTATCGTATTCAATGTTTTCTACTTGCTTGAATGTCAATTAACATCTTTAACAATTGATGCCGAGATCCGTAAAGGTCTTTCATTACAATCCTGTGCGTTGCCGGCTTCGTCTATCAGAGCGCGGACTTCTTTTTTGGCTTCTTCCGATTCCCCACAACCACAAATATTAGGTAACCATCCATAAAACTGCCAGGCCTATTGTAAATACGTTTCGGTCGCATTAGCATAGATTCACTGCGTAGATTCGTCTTCGCCAGTCAATAGTCTTCTATTTATCAATAACTTTTGATAAGTTGGCGAAACACTTATGCATCTCTAGATAAATTTTAAGCTGGCGTTTATGTCGTCATATCAGGATATAATTACTAACTAAAGAGTTCTTGAATTGCAGGGTGGAATCGATGAAAGACTTAATTTTTCCCTCTCTGACTATTTGTATGGCAAATTGGGTAAGCCGCGAAAAAGTAAGTAAGCAAGCACAAAATATCATCGTAACTTTTGTCCCATAACCGTTTTAATGGTGTCTCACATGAGTAATACGACGTATTACAGAGATAATGCGCAGATCGCACAAAAAGGCCAATTCACTAGAGCAGAGATAGATTTTGATTTTTAAAGACAAGCTGGGCTTTTCCTTCTTAAATAGCTTTGATTACAACCCATTGGCTCTCTCACTGGTTTGAGAACTACGACGTACAAACATTTCCACTACAGATGCATCTATTAGTTTTAATCTATAGAACTCTGTTTCATGTTTTTATAGTTTTTCAAATAGACGCCTTATACGGATTTATTGTATGCACTTTAGAGGAACAGTATCGTTGAGTGCTAGCGGTTTCTGGTATCTGTCACAATGTCCCTGTCTGTAAATACGAACCCGCGGAGATGCAACATTTGTCACCCCTATCAGTTGGAAGGTGTTCAAACCGAGCTACCTACCTAAACTATCACGAATCTCAAAATATCAGGCACCAAATTAACACTATTCAGCAATGTAAAGTTTGAAACTCGGTAGCGTAACCGGCGCGAAAAGAGACAACTCTGGGAATCTCTGGTAAATCGCACGCTATAGCTGTTCGTCTAGCTGCAGGACGGTGCAGTGTCGGAAGACATGTCCTGCTTAATGGTCAAGATGACTCGCATAGCGACACGTGTAATAACGTTATTCAATGCAAAGAATAGAGCAACCGGAGGATTCTCTTTCCTTAATAGAAGCAGGATGTCCGCTTAGTCGCTGATGTTTTTCGATCGTACTCCAGCAAATTGTCTGCATTGTAACTCTACTGTGATAGCCTTTGCTGACATCTATATTAGAAGAAACCAATCCTTAGCCGGAGTTTTTAAGCTGCAAAAATTAATACAAAAAACGGCAGCACCTATGTAGCCCAAATCGACATTTTCTATTTTGTTAGCTACTAAAAATGTGTGGTTTTTACCTTAAAATGATCATGTGCACATGTCGATTTTGTTGCATACTGCATAGGTTTGCAAATTAAAGGATCTTCAACTGGAACTCTGTGGTGAGGGAAGCCCCACTTTTCAGGCACTCATCAATGCCCTATGGAACCAGACGCCAATCAGTGACTTCGCTTTTCGCACCGAGGTACCTCCAGTGTGACATGGATATATTTACAAGATGCACTTATGTAAAATCTAACCAATTTATTTATTTATATAAGAGGTTAGAATCTTTGACTAACGAACTTGCTTCAACGCAAAATACGCACCCTCAAGCCTAAAAAGGCTGCTTTCACAGCTGTTGTCTCCATTGTCGCTGATGGCCAATAACTCTGACGGATGGCAATAACCGAAAAAAAAAAACTGGGCAACAGAATGTACGAATATTTTATGATAGTAGAAAAAATATTGAGAGAGGTACGTTCTATAAACAATGAGCTTAATTCTGATTTTAGAATTTACGTTGAACTAGTTTGCTTCACATGAGGCTTATAGTACTAGTGGCATATACTGAAGAAGATAAATATTTATATTTCGTTTCCATAATAAAATATATAGCAGCTATACAGATTTATGTCACATCTTAGGTGAACTTAAACTGCATTATTTATCTGGCAAAAAAAAAAACAATTTGTTCAGGAGGCGATCACACACTGCCATATGAAACCAACGTCTGGCTGTGAACCGTTCGACTGCAGTCAAAACTGGAAATTTGCCTATTCAAGGTAATAATAGGCCTCTTTTTGGGTACACAGATAATATACGAATTTATTGAACCTATTTCGTCCATCTCGATGTAGTTGTTTGGTTCAAGCAAGATGGGGTAGCTGTGTTTTTAATTGGTTGACACAATGCTTCAAAGTATGTAGGTCACTAAGCGTAATTGAAAACGAGTTTTTTTGTAAGTTCTACTGTTTCTAGGTGCAGATCTGTCTGAGATTAGCAACACGTTCCGCCATCTTTCAATAGGGACAGCTAGATACACATCGATAGTCGTGCGTGAAATTCAAGGTGGCTTGCCGCTTCCCTAACTACTAACCTCTAAACCTGTAAACTTTTTAGATTTCCAGATGCAGTGTGTTACTCTCTTGATATGCACGCTATTGAAGACCCTAATCATCCACTAAACAAGTGCAAATATCCATGGGACTACGAACTTAACGTCGTTATGGGCTGGGATGAACAGAATACACTGCAAATATCTGATATGTTCAAAGCTGACGCTGTACTTCACGAGGTAGCCGTTCGTCCTTCATTTACGATCTATTCTGCAAATGCTACGACGTATTAACTGTTATAGTTAGTCATAGTTTTATTGTTGAGAATCGATGTATGTATAAGAGTCGTTTTAAGATTATCGTAGCCTGTTTTATACCGGGTACTCCCTATGCTCCCTAACCTAAATCGGAACTAAAGCATGCAAATGATACGTTTATGTGTTTGCTATGATCGTTTTTGTTCGCTGCTTCAACTCAATAGGTATTAGGTATTCGAAACTGCCTAATTAATATATTAGAGCTACATTTTTTTTGACAGCTCTTATCTTAGTTAGCTTATATATATATATATATATATATATATATATATAATAGATAGTGCGAACTATGCGCTTCGCTGATATTTATTGATTGATTTAGGAGGGCTTCTTGAAACAGTCGATCAAAGCTATTTCGGCACGAATATTTTAATCGTGCAGTCTTTGTCATTTTCTATGGCCAAAACATTGGCGATACTATATTTTTTTTGGAAATTATGCCAGGCGGAAACCAACTCTGCGGGACAATTGCACCCATTATTCTTTGAACCTGGAGCGCGCTACATTATTCTTGTAGAGCAGTTGACAACCTTGGCGCTACCACCGCCATATCAGACTCAGTGCATCGATTACGACGCTATGCCGCGCTCGGAAATGTTCTACGGAAAGATTACTCAAAATCTTTGCTACGAAATGTGCAAGGCCCTAAACTGGGATCTATACTGTCGGTGCATCTCCCCAAGGTGGGTACCCCAATCTATCAACAAAGTGAATATCGGCACCGTTTACGCGCCGCTAACGACAAAGTAAATAGATGTTTTGAGTTCTACGTCCGGCACAGCATCTCAATACTGCCTCAGATGAATTTCAATAGCTACTAACGTTAGGCAGCGACGTTATTATTGTACTGACATTGGACATAACATATTCACTATATGATAGATGTACAAGGGGTTTTGTGCATCTGTCACGTTATCTAGTTACTGTCGGCATCACTTTGTTTATTTGAAAATATTCATTTTTTGGGCCATCTAGACTTGTAGTCGGACTAACCGCGGATCAACTTGAAGTTAATAAAGATAGTTCAGTGAGGTGGGTATTTATTTTGCAGATATGCGTATAGGGACCTTTACTCACGTGTCTGTACTCAGGAGGAGACAAGAAAATGTGCCAAAATCGACATAGATCATCACTTCACGGATCAGTGCATTCGTCAGTGTCGTCAGCCTTGCAAGGAAGTTACATATGAGGTACAGGTAACAGCTCAGGGACAAAAGGAGGGTGAAGCCGCTGCGTATACAGAAGGTGAGTTAGACTTCAGCCGTTTTTTCAAGGCACATTCGTTAAACAATATTATCAATGCCCAAACGACATTAGTTTTCAACCCATGAATATTATCTGTTCTACATATGATGTAATGATACGCATTGATTGCGAATGAAGGCAGTGGTCGCACGGTGATTTGTCGTACGCTACTCCCTCCAGCTCGCACCAGTCACAGTAGGGCATGGGAAGGAGCCAACTTGGACCTTTCTTTGCCTGCTATACTACTCGTCGTAATGCATACGCTAAGAGTTTGCCCGTGTTTCCTTTATCCTCGATGTGAAACACAAAAAACTCCCTTTGCTTCTTGGAATGCGATCCTTTATAGAAGTTATATATTTTCTATGATGTGTTGCATTTTTAATCTAATAGGCAACCAGATGTGGCATGGAGCAATATCATATAGGAAACGTATCATTTGCATCAGGGTAAAATATTTCCGTTATTATTATTATTATTTGATACGGAAAGGCCGTTTTCCATAGAAGGTCTCGTAACGTGGACAAAACTGAGAAGTCCAGTGCCTTCATCAACGTGTAGGAAGCGTAGCTCTTTGAAGGGCGAATAGGTAAACAAGATCAGATTTCTAAAAGGGCAAATATGTGTCTGCTAGAAATTTGCTACAGCTTGTCCTATAGCGCCACTTGAATGCATGTTTACCTTAATGTTGTGCGAACACTAGCCCTTCTAACCACTTGAGCAGTTATCGTAAAAATAGTCCACCATAAAAACCTGTCATTAAAAACGTCTTTGTGGACCTAATTGCTCCTTCCGGGCCTTGTAATAATCACATGGGGGCATTGAAATGCTTTCTTTGTAGCAGCAAAATGCGATCCAAAAGTGACAGATGTTGTAGCGTATATATTTCTTACCCTTAGGTCATACGTAATGTTTCTAGTGTCCTTGGGCTTAGGTATGTTCTCCATGATAGGTTACCTGTCATTGAGGCTTTCATGTTTTTCTAATGTCAGATAAGGCAGTCGAGTATTATTATGACGATAACGGCCTGCCAACGGATTCGATGAACGGGACCGAACCTATTGAGTTAACCAGAAGAGAATTCAGCCTCACGGTGATGTTTGCGTCGGAAAAACACACTATTCTTCAACATATGCGCAAATTTACTTTCATTGAGGTACGACATACAATAGTTTTACGTTAAGTTTCAACATCGGTAATTACTGCTCCCTCCAGTTATGTGCTGGAAGACTTCATCGTTACATTTCATTGGCCGAACGGGTTTTTCAGGTACATGTTTGCGACTAGAAAAGTTTTACATCAAGTATGCATAGTTTTGGCGTTAAAGTTTGCTTAATACCAATGCAGGATGAAAATGTGTAGCCCTAATACATAACAGGCGTTCTAATTGCAGGTGTTTGGTTATTTGGGAGGCTACGTCGGTGTTTGGCTAGGAATGAGTTTTTTCTCGGTTCTAGATTACTTCGTCATCTACCTACGAAGGCAGTAATTATTGTATATTGTCATGCACGCTTATTCACTGACTGCACAGATTGTGGGACTGAAGAGCATGCCGACATCGCAACGAAGAACGATTCATAAAAGCCTTCGCATAGAAATGGAACAATGAGTAGATACAGCTTAATCAACAATAAAAGCTGGCTAACATAATAATATGTGTTTTCTCCCTTCAGATGCCGGCAAAGGAAATACAATCATAAGGAGGAAGCGGCAAAAATCGAACAGGATCTCCTCACCGATAGGCAAAGCTTAAAGCGTAATACAAATCGAGTCGTTCCAGACGAAAGATTCTAAGTAGCGTCATAATAAGTAATAGCTTTGAATTACTTTTGAAGAACGGAGAAGAACTAATCACATGGATTCCATCTATATCATCTTTTCGACGACCTAACACGGGCGTTACCAATAAAACGCACGCGTCAGATATGTGTGTTGTATTTTGTGATCCATTGACCCATTCATCATTTGTAATAAGCGGAATTGAGTTCCACGTTAATGTCTTATTTGGATAATAGGCAATTCCTCGTACACTTGCACAAGCCATTATTATTATTATTATAGGCAAGAAAGGAGAGTGACTCTTTGAACGACTGCGCTAAGGTTTCCTTCGTATTCAAGCACGTAACATATGTTTATCCTGCTGACTTTAGTTGCCTCAGGGGTAGATCAATCAAATTTGCAAACGTTATAAGGCATGATAGCATTTTTATTAGTTAATCCCTCGAACGACCTTGCATGCACCATATGTGCGAGTAATAATATCACCTGTAAACGCTGTGTTTAAGTTGTGTACGAATAACATAAATATTACTTGTATTGCTAGTTAGAAAATACTTTCAAGGTTCCATGTACAATATCTCGCAACCAACGTACAGGCCTATAATGATAGCCGGAGCTGGGCCGACTTTTTCATCCGGCAACGACATCAGTTTCACGACACAATCAGGCCCAACCGATCGTGATAGACATCTACGCTTTGCCAGATACTTATAGCATTTGCGTTTATTGCACCCATCCGCATGAGATCTGCCATTTCTGAGCTTTGTTCGTAGCGGCTCACGGGTGTACGTCAGCGAACAAAATGCTACTGGTTCTACGCCTTATGAGATGATATTTATCCCAAAAGTGTAGGTCACCTATACAAAGTAGACGGAATGTTGCTGGGCCCCATAGCCCACCCGTAGAAAACGCCAGTTATCATTCCCAAGGAACTACGGTATGTTACCGCTATGTTTGTTAGCCTACGCCATGAAGTTAAGCCGACGGCGAGAAGAAGAGGCTAACTTTGGTGATGACGACGAACGATGCCAGTGCGAGCTACGTTACTAACGGTGGTCACTCAATAACGCGCACCGGAGTTAACCACCGGAACAAACGGATTCACTGATCTTGTGAGGCTGTGTATTGTATCTATCCGGGTCCTGCAAGCGGAAACGGGCGGTAAGGGTTAACGACATTTGGGACGCATCTGACCGTTACAATGGAGCAGGCAGAACAAACGGTGCAGCCACACATGACTAGGGAATAGAATAGGGACTGGATTTGAGTTTACATTGCTGTGCCATACACGCGTCTAATAAGGTTAAAGGCCAAATGCTCTGATGTATGGGACTACAGCAGCGAAAGGACGTTGCAACTGCCGCCTCCACTGCCGACAACAACAAAAACATGCCTCGAGGGGATGCGTTTACCGCTGCCTTTCGGTGGCTCTCGTTTGCGGCAACACTATAGAGCAGCGTTTACTTCGCACAAACTTACAGAGCTAAGCATGTGGACTAAGTTCATGACGCTAAAGAAATAGCAGAAGTTGTAGTGGTTCGCGGAGATCAGTGATGAATTATAAGCTAACGATACGTTCTTGCAACAGCTTCGACAAAGCACTAGTGTCGTAGTATCAAGGTTGAGCGTTTAACAACGAGTAAAGCTGGAAATTGTCATCTGCTTCTTCCTTTACATATTATAAGGCTTTTGGGTAGCATAACAGTGAGCATAGATAACTAAAAGACCAGTGGGTCTTGATCATCGCAAAGATGTTTTGATAGTTCAAATCCTACCCTATGAAAATCATCTTCTCTTCATCAAAAGGACGCCTTAGAGTTTGTTGTCAATGCCCCCTAAGGCCAAGAGGAGTTTCTCTAGCAGTAACAACCCTGGGGGTATTTTTCCTAAACAAGAGGGGAGAGGTGGGTTGAGCAATTGAGGGTAGCCGCTTTCCGCTAAGCGAGATCAGCTTCGCTCGGCTGAGTCTAACCTTAGCCAGCCAAATCGGTCAAAGGAAGTCGAGACCTGGCGTCCTTTTTTGAAGGGCTGCCCTAAGCTGCCCGACATTCCACTCCCCAAGGGATCCTGTGTAATGTGTGCCTTTGACCTGGTTATTTCCCAATGAATGGGGATGTCCCGCAGGACATGAGAACCAATGAAAAGATGGCCGTGCAACAACTTGCATTAAATTAATGTCAGCTCAATTCGTACTCTACTGCCGGCGACTCGACGTTTCTCGTTGTACAGCAGTTGACAAGCGCCAGTTAATGGAAGGTGGGGAATGGGGGTGTTAGATCAAGAAGTGAGGTGGGAAACGCGTCAGACTATCGAATTCGGTAAAAGTGGTAGCTGTCTAATATGTAGTATAGTCAAAAATGTGCACAATATTAAAAAATATACGACCGTATACATTTACGATTACTGCTGGAGAGTTTTGAAAATTGCTACCTAGTGCCTGCATATATATATATATATATATATATATATATATATATATAGAAGAAAATATAATGATGAAGTTTACAATCGTCCAGTTCCTAGGTACGTTAGTACATTAGGCAAGAGAAAGACAAAATAAGCCGATAAGAGTTCAAACCCGGATACAGAATGAACCTATTCAACAATAAACATAAAATAAACATTTTAAATTATTTTATCAGTTTCATATGCCGTATAGACCTGAACGCCTTTGTGCACCTATTCATCTTAGCTAACGGTGAGTTGTCAGGTAAGGCCAAACGTCCCTGTATAGCTGAATCGCCTGCCTCAAACCTAGGTCACTCAGGTGATCATATATTTAGTGTATCCCAAATCGTGTTTAGTCTATACGTATTTATCAGAGCGGCATTAAATTCGGCTTAGCTATCTAATTAAAATCTTAAAGCTTAATTATCTAATACTTTTTAAAAACCCACATGTTATACCTAGCATAGTTGACTAACTATTGCCGAGCAAAAAGAAAGCCTTCTTTTCGTTATAAGGTAGGTGGATACATTGTGCTATTGGCTAGTTCTGATAATGTTATTACAAATCCCCCCCATTTATTTATGTCATGTTTTCGAAGTTTCGCCTCTGATCAAGGAAGGAGTGAGTTTGATAGAGTTTTTTTTGTACATATACGAAACAGAAACGGCCAGCTTTTATTGTTTGACATTTAAGATTTGCCAGCGCCATTATTTCGCTCGTCCATGTATGAAGAACGATATTTACGTCTGTAGTATAGAAAATATTGTATGCTGTTTTGAATTTGCATTCGCGAAAGCATCGTTATACTACTGACGTAGATGTGTGGATGGGGGTTCTTTGGTAATTTGAAGTTTGGACATCGAACAAGATATGGATGACCCCTGCAAATACCTAAACCGGTGTAATATCAGCGCGAACATCCGTATCTGTAGGTTTTACGTGGCTCGTTCAAGGTAGCGAACGATGGGATAATGAATAGGAGCCTTTTTTTCGAAAGATAAATATTTACGAAGCTTTAATTCTATAAAGAATTTTTTCTTAGAATTCTATAGAATTTTTTTTTTTTTTTCATCTTTTTGGTTGCTTTTCGATGAAGCAAGTAGCAGTGGATAGTTAGGTCGCGCTCCTGGACTACGGAACTACTCATCTAGTACAACAAATAAATACAACAGTTTTACTCAAGTGCCATGATAACTGCTTCGTATCACCGCCTCTAAAACTTTTTTTTACCCAGCTACATGATTAATTGTCCCCTTGGGAAATTTATATTTTCTGCCTTTTGTATGTAGGGCACTTTTCCACTGTGGCAAATTCTAAATTCGGCTCCGTTTAGCGCAGCCCGTCGCTCGACTGAGAGTCATCCCTGTGTCTGTCAAGCTGTTAAAATGCGCTGATTATAGTGAATGGAAGAAAGAATGTATATTCTTTCTGTTCTTTCTACTGTTGCACTTGGGCACTGCTGACGTTTTTCATTGTCATTACCTAGGAATCTGCACGACCACGTTATCCTGAATCGGAATTCTCCTTAGGCTGATTGAGAAAGATCATAAATTTGATTGTTGTCCTTCTTGGCATTCGTGAGACGTTTTTTTTTTCAAAACAGGCCATGACATTCGTTACCAACGACTGTATTTTTAGCTTCTATAAATGTAAAAATACAAATTCTTGAAATTGATAACTTTAGTATATGACCGTACACCAGATTCTATTACAGGCGATGGAAGTATGTCAATCTAAGCCCATCCTATGAGCTTCCTATGTGATACAAGCTATTATTTTTTTTTAAACTTTTAAGTCTAATCTGTTTCGCAAAGATTCACTTAGCCCGCTCCTTAAAAAGTCAACATTGAACCATCCGGTAGGATAGGCTCCACTCCGGCCTGGTGGAACACTACCGTGCAGATTCCTAACTAGATTTTTTTTTTTGGGTCATTTTTGACTCTGAAACACTTCGCCGGCGTTGCATCCATAGTCCTGACGTACCTACGAGTTAAGTGAAAACGTGTATAGCGGAAGATGTTTTTGGAGTTCCCAGGCCGGACCCAGTAGCCAGCAACGTAAAACGCTATTATTAGTAGTACATAGTTAGAAACCAGAAAGAAGCAACTTAATATATTTGCAAAATAAGATTAATTGGTTGTTACTCGTTTGTCCAAGCTGCTGTAGGCTAGATTCATTATGTCCATAATATAGCTTAATCGCACCTAGCAGTCAAACTGCATATAACATCTACCTAATTTCTGAATAGCTGGTCTTCATTGTACCGTGATCAATGGCGGAAAGGTATTCGAAAAAGCTTCTAGAACCTATAGAATTTTACGGTGAAGCAAGATAGACTAATTGACATCGTCTCGATCTAGCAGGCATTTAGAAGTTAGCTACCGCTTATTCAGGTATTAAACCGCTTAGGTTATGTGTAACTTCAATAATGAATGAAGTATCTGCAATGAGGCAGTTAAAGTCGATTGCGTACATTTCGTGGATTGCCAATGGCGGTCTACTATTCATGGAAACGTAAGACAGCGCGAAGTATAAGGACTATAGCATAGCACCACTCGTGGGGTGGTCATTTGAGGATTGGCTAGTGGGACGTATTTAACTGTCTTCAC